CTGTCTCATTATTCTGCTTGCCAGTCTCCGTCTATCTATCTGTCGATCTATCTGTCGATCTATCTATCTATCATCCCCACCCCATCTCCTCCCCCCTCTCTCTCCCAATTCCTCTCTCTCTCTCTCTCTCTCTCTCTCTCTTTCTCTCTCATGTTCTCTCTCTCTCTCTCTCTCTCTCTCTCTCTCTCTCTCTCTCTCTCTCTCTCTCTCATTCTGACATATTATATTATGTTTCTCTGTTACCGATAGAAATACGACTCACTAGCTAGTTGGAGACACTGATTAAAACCACAACAAACAACCTGAAAATGTTCACCGAAACACACACATCAATGATTATAATCAATAGTTTATTTTGATATTAAGGGACATTTGGAGAAGTCAAAACACATGATAAAATTATGTCCAAATATTCACAATGAACATCCACGACGCCATTTTCCTGCATTCCATGACCCTACCATCGATCGACACGTCATTAGCAGAGGCTCTAACCTGCACCACGAGAAACACAATATATTATTATCATTCCTTTTGCTGTACATTCCTTTTCAGTATGTTTGCCCAACAAGCTACATATACTTGTACCAGGCTCCTCTATGTTCCCAGAACCTGCACATGTATCAGTTCTGTAACTTGTAACTTGTAAGCCCACAGAGTCACAAACTGGTGGCGTCTTTAACAAGGCACAATGGCCCAAGTATAAGGGCCCGTTCATTCCAAAGAGTTGAGGGCGAGGGGGTAAATCATCATCAAACGTAAGCAATGCAGCGGTCTCTAAACAAGGTATGCAGAAACAAACATGACGCCTGCCAGCATCAATATAATCTAAGCTTAAGCGCTTGCCATTTAAACAAAACAACAACAAAAAATCCCAAAAAAGCAATCCCAAAATCTCCCCTGAATGTGGTTCAAAACAAAATTTTCCAAGAGCTTTAGACCACTAAAATTGAGCTGATTATTCCTATTGGTTGTTTGCAAGGTGTTGGTTTTCACAGAGCTGTGTGATCTCTGTAGAGAGACATTTGATTCTTAAAATATTGAACACTTGACTCTTGACTTCTGGGCGAGAAAAACTCACAGCAGCCCAGAGTCTGGACATCACCAGGAACGTAGAAACAAACAGAAACAAAACAACAGAAATAAGTAATTGTCTACTTCTGTACACACAACCTGTACACAGCCAGTATAATTCACAGCTTCTACAAACGTGTACAAGCCCAGCCCAGTCCCCAGGCACAAGACAACAAGGCACAATAAGCTGTCTATGTTTACTAAATAAAAGCAACAGGGAGAAAGTCGGGTAATAAATTAAATAGTAATAAGAAACCATACAAATCAACAGCCAAAAACTCAAACAAAGACATGGTTTGCAATACTGCAGGGCGTGACAAAAACACAATAACCCAATCTTATTATAACACGTTACCCTTTACACTTTCGGATTAACATCTCTCCACTCTTGATCCAGCCAATACTGCAAGTCCACGCCAGTGGCTTCGTCTTGCCAATGTGAAAACACTTACGACGCATACAACTGAGCTAAAATCTTACAAACTCATGACAGAATGAAAAAGACATCGAAGATCAGAGTCCAGAGTGGTAAAGACACCGTGAGAGGGAAGTTCACGACAAGGCACCTCAAGGTCGTAGAGTTTGACCTGTGACTCGACTTCCGACAAAAGCCCCTTACTTTCCAGTTCCAAAAAACCCTTTTAACGATTTACTGCTCAACCCGGGAGAAAATGTGCTCGAGTCGACGTCAACAGTTAGAGTTTGTACTTTACTCCACAAGGTAAGAAATAACATGAACACCAGGAGGCCAGGAGGTAGTTCAGATCACAGGACGTAGAACAAACGGAGAGCCATTTTTGCGAAGAATTTGATCAGACAGGGTTCTGAAATCTTAGTTGAATTATTACCCCAAGCGTGTTTTAAAATATTGGATAGCCTGGGGGTGAAATTAGGGAGAACCACACACCAGCATATGATTTGGAAGTCTTTTTGACAACGTGACCCCAAGATTAGAAGATAGAAACTTTGATCTTTTGTGGGAAAGGTAACTTTTCTGGCAATGTAGCACAATCTAAGGTAGCAATATTGTCATAAAATGTTTCTCTATTCTGTCAGTTGTACATGTACTTGGTTTCCAAGATGAAAAACTGCTGGTTTAAAGAAAATGGTCCCAATAAAACTGAAAACAGCAAAGCCAAGTGGTTTACAGCAAGGGGCGACTCCTACGATTTCAAATCCACAACTGCGTCCTGCAAATGTTCAACATTATCCTTTGCCAATCACTTTGGCATGTGAGAATGTGTTTGGGTTTTGAAGTTTCGCGTGTGTGTGTGTGTGTGTGTGTGTGTGTGTGTGTGTGTGTGTGTGTGTGTGTGTGTGTGTGTGTGTGTGTGTGTGTGTTGGAGTGTGTTGTTAAATGGTCTCACAATGTGCTCTTTGTCCTTTGATACTTCAGCTGAGTGATACATCTGCACTGTACATGTATAGGACTTATTGCCTTCTACGAGTAGTGTGATAAGGTGCTCTATAAAACGCCCATCATCCCATCATTATACTGTCGACGACGTAGCGTTCTTCGAATTTAAATTTGCCATTCAGACTTTTCAGAGTTCAGCTGCTTTTCTTCTTGAAGCAGCTCACGGTTGCCCAAACCCATTGCCGTATTTAGTGGAATAAAATTATAGATTTCGATAGCTCAGTTTTCCTTTTCAATAAAGAACAGCGAGACATAAGGAAGTCAATGAAAGTCTCTCAAGCTCACCAAAAGTCAAACGATCGTCATTCGAGTAAAGTAATTTGTATCGCACCTCAATGTATGGATAGCACACAGCTGAGGTAAGTCATAGTCAGTTATGGTTGTGGCTTCAGATATCGCGATTTCATATCGAGAATATAGAGGGTCGTAGGTTTTTATGTTTTTGTCCAGCGCCCTGTAAGAGTTATAGTATTGACAATAATAATAGAAATGATAAAAATAAGAAAGACAACAACGACAGCAATAAATGATAATAATAATAATAATAATGATAGCAATAATAATAATAATAATAATAATAATAATAATAATAATAATAATAATAATAATAATAATAATAATAATAACAACACGATCATATACATTGTATATTATGTACATTATTAAACCAATCGTCTGTGAGCTTGCAGTCCGTGGTGGACTCATGAACAAGTAAATAACACTGACATTCACAACTGACAACTGACACCTGACATTGACAACTGACACCTGACACTAACAACTGACATTGGCACTGACAACTGACATTGATAACTAACATTAACCAGACAGTAATAACTGACACTGACAACTGACACTGACAACTGACACTGCCAGTTGATACTAACGACTGACACTGGCAGCTGACAGTTATAATTGACACTGACAGCTGACACTGAAAACTGACAACTGACACTGACAACTGGCACTGACAACTGAAAACTGACATTGACAACACACACACGCATTCGGACACATAGGTTGTCTGCCAGATGGGTAATGAGCGAGACGAGCGTATCTCATAAGATAAGATAAGCTCGTCAAGGTAATGAGCTAGAGCGCCATGTCGGCTGCTACACACCTCGTCCCACACTCGACTCACTGACGTCACATCCAATGAACAAACACAGCTGAAAACACACGGGGCGTTGTGAGTATGAGCTCTCAGTTTGGGGCCAGAGACACAGGCAGACGATGCAACTATAGCTAGGCCTTCAAGGCTGGCTACTAGCTGTATCATACTGCATGCAGCCATATTGGCTGCTCTGTGGGCTTCACACGAGATACACCCGTTGCAGCTTGATACATCTATTTTGTGTTGACTTTGGCCACGAGATAAAGCCTACAGCCACATGCTACATGTATAATGTATTCTTTTGAACTTCATACGAAGTCTAACAAACAATTAAGCTTTCTTTTTCAAAGTAAAGTTTTTACAACAGGGCGTAAAAAAGGATATTTTTGCCGAGTCTTTTCCAGAACTCACAAACTGCGTAGAACCAGCCGTGCACCTAGCATCATGTGTGCTCCCAGTCCACAGTCAGACCTGTTTCTGACTCCCTTAAGTTACGAGACAATGTATGGAACCCTTAATCTCTCTTCAACACATACGCATAAAGACAAACAGGCAGAGAAAGGGAGAGGGGGGGGGGGGGAGAGAGAGAGAGAGAGAGAGAGAGAGAGAGAGAGAGCGAGTACGCGCTCGTGTGTGTGTGTGTGTGTGTGTGTGTGTGTGTGTGTGTGCGTGTGTGTGCGTGTGAGAGAGAGAGAGAAAGAGAGAGAGAGAGAGAGAGAGAGAGAGAGAGAGAGAGAGAGAGGGGGGAGAGAGAGAGAGAAAGAGTGAGAGTAACTGCAAAGTCTCAAAACAAAATAGTTAGAGAAAGTTAGGAGAAAGAACGGAAATGATTGGCTAGTTTTAGATTATTCTTTTCAACGAAAACAGTAATTCTTATCCCACTCCACCCCCTTTACTGAAGTTGAAGGGTTCAAATTTAGTTCCAATATAATGTAGCTTGCCAAGGGTGCTGTCTTAGTTTGAAGAGTCTTTGCATAGTATACAGATATGTATAAATTTTAATTAACTTGAAGTAGATGAGTAAGGGCAGGAACATATCATCGGAGACCCGCGACCCACACGCACAGCTGGGAACCTAGAGAGCAGACAATAGGTAACAGGTTACATACAACATACAACAGACACAGACGCAGACACCTGGGAACCCAAACAGCAGACAACAGATAACAGACACCAACAACAGACAACACACACACACACACACACACACACACACACACACACACACACACACACACACACACACACACACACACACACACACACACACACACACACTCACACATGGGAACTCCGACAGTAGACAACAGAAAAAAACAAAGACAGATGACAGTCTCCACGACCTTCACATTGGCTACAGACAGACATTTAAGGCAACAGCTGGCCACTGGGGGCGATGTGCGGGTGTGTCTTTGTTCACGTGTCCAGGTTCCCATCACCCCCCTCGCCTTGAGCCTTTTGTCTCTTCTTGGCCTTGGCTGTGATTTTCTGCCTGCGTGGTGCGATATTAGGGGAGGGGACAGGCGAGGGCGACCCGCCTTCAGAGGAAGCCCCGCCCCCTCCAGCTTCAGTGGGAGGGGTCAGCGTTGACGTCTGTTGGGATGCTGGGGTTGTCAGACTTCCGGTCGCAGAGGTGCTACTTTCAGAAAGTCTCTGTTCTGGGTTTTGATCCTTCTGCTGCTGCTGTTGCTGCTGTTCTTGTTGCTGCTGTTTCTGTTGAGCCTCAGCCTCAGCACGCTCCGGGATACAGTCCGGGTGTCTCTGGAATTTCCTCGAGCCTGACCTGGAGTGCGACACGTGGAAGGACACGTGGTCCGGAAATACGGCGCTTTTGGGCAGCAGGCCGTCCATGGAGCGAGAGAAGGCCTGGAGCTGGCCCATGAGCTGCTCGCTACTGCTGGCGCGCTTCTCCCCGTCCTTCGCGGAGCCAGAAGAGTTGGCGGCGGGCTCCTCGTCCACTTCTTTGATTTCGTCGAAGGTCACGGGCTGGGTCTTGTACCTGGCGCCGCTCCGCTGAGCGCGGGATTTCTTCTTCCGGAACGAGCCGGAAGCGTTGAAGTCCCCGTGGATGTGGAGGCGCGAGAGGCGCTCCGGGAAGTGCGTGTCGAAATTGTACATGGGGTCAAGGACCTTAGACGCCTGTGACGTCATCATGATGGGGAGGCGGTAGCGATCGACGCACTCCGGGAATAATAGAGCTTCTTCAAGGACTCCAGAAATAGAATTTCCCCAAGAAGAAATAAGGCACTCTTTTACTCTAAATTAATCCTCAAACTTTTCATTAACAAGATCAGTAAGTTTCCCACAGTCTTTGTAGTGTCGCTGGCTTATTTACTGTTGTGTCAGAAACTATTCTCTCTTACACTTACACCTGCCACCATTGCCAGGTTGGCAAACACATAGTTCAAACTGCATCTCCAGAAAACTTCTCAGAAGAGATATATCCAGTCCTGTTTTGACTTTCACTGCCAGCCACACAAGGTAGTAGGTCGGTCAAACACTAACCCACCTTTTAGAATAAATATCCACTAGGTTAGTTAGCCTCACTTCACGAGTTCACGTATCCCGTCTCACTCACGTAGCAAGATACAGAGCAGCGCCCACAAAATCATTCAGTGTACTCCCACGTATACGAGCTTACTCGCTGTTAGTCAGCGCGACCGCTGATTGGTCAGTGTAAAATGTTGGAGAAACTGTCAACCGTTGATTGGTCAGTGTGAAATGCTGGAGAAACTGTCAACCGTTGATTGGTCAGGATAAAATGTTGGAGAAACTGTTGACCATTGATTGGTCAGTGTAAAATGTTGGAGAAGTTGCGTAACTTGTTCGACGTCACACAGATGGCGGGGCTGGGGTCAGGCCAAGACCTGGCACAGACCAGTAGATCACTGCCTGTCGCGCCATTCGGGAGGTCACAGGTCAAAGGTCACAGGTCACAGGTCAAAGGTCGCAAGCTGCATATGGCAAGGTAAGGTGAAGATCTGGAAACAAAAAAAAAGACGATGGAGATTCAAAATTATGGTGGGGGAATTCTATAGGGGCTTTGTTGGCTGTGCTTTGTTCATTGAAGATGAACATCCCTCTTGACAGTGTAGGAGTACGGACTGAAAATGTAGTAACAACAACAACAACAACAACAACAACAACAACAACGAAGAAGAAGAAGAAGAAGAAGAAGAAGAAGAAGAAGAAGAAGAAGAAGAAGAAGAAGAAGAAGAAGAAGAAGAAGAAGAAGAAGAAGAAGAAGA